TATTAAAGGGATCCTTATTGTAAAGTGTAAAACTGTACACTATTTTGGATGGGTGGGATTATTTGGTGTGTTAACATGACATTTTTTACTTTTTTAATACATCAACATTGTTGACAGTAGTTACATGTTTGAACAATAGTTTCAAATATTGATAACACAAAGTTTTAAAAATGGTGATTTTTCACATTAAAAGCTAACATTTGGCATTTATAAATGTGTATTTGTCATTGATAAATAGTGCACTGTTTTACACTTTAAGTCCCCCTTTGATAGTTGTGAGTATTTATAATGCAGTAATACAGTACATTATTAATATATTAAAAGATGTGTTTCTTATCGTTATTGTACTTACAATGTAGTAACATAACGTAAAATATTTAATAAGCACCTTTAGATGTAATATGTACATGAACATATTTGTCTCATTATTTGGTAAGAAACTGAACAGTTTTTTCTCTTTCTTGTCCTTAATTATTGCATAATAAACATTTATTAATTATTTATACAGTGTTAACAGATGAATTAATAACCTATCTATAAACTCTTTATAAGCCATCTATAAGGGGAGCCTTACTGTAAAGTGGTATCAAATGTAACATGCACAGTAAATTCTCCTTACCAGTTTTTCATACATTTTACTGTACATAGATAGAATATTCTCAAACACACAGCATGTGAAAAACTCTAACCATCATTTGTCAAATGAAAGACTTTTTTAACAGGATTGTTCAAATTTTCTTAAGAAGAGAAGAAGAATTCTGTAAGCTTGATTCATTCTGGACTTTACTATTTGACTCATTAGCGCAACTAGTGTTTGAACATGGAGCTGCAGGTAAAGGACAGATGAGTGACAGGACGGGGGCACTTCAGGGGGCCAATCAGATTTCAGCTGGGGCCAATGCCCCTGCAGCAGGGTTTGATTGGTGGAACAAATGAAAACTCTTCATGTGTTTATGTGTTTGGTTGGGTTCTGTCAGGATTTCTGTTTCAAAGTAAAACTTGTTTTGGATCTGGAGGCGGGTCTGACTCCTGGACCAAGATAAAGGACTGAGTTGTTGACATGTCTGATGTTTGAAGACGAGGACAGGACACCCAGGCTGCTGCCCTCAGATTAAAGTTTGATTTCTCTGGAGGACATAAAACAACGAGACTCGCTCTATAAACTAGGAACTAAAGCTCTATCAGACAATCTTTCCTTTAATAGAAGTATTGTGTGCATCGTCACCAGGTTTTTTGTAAAAAAAAAACATGAGTTGTTTATACAGTTTCTTACCATCGGTGGTTTCCTGTCCTGTCAGCGGCTCGCTGTCTCTGTAGCCGTAGGCGGCGACCACAGACACCCGGTACAGAGTCTCTGGACTCAGACCTTCCAGGACGGTGGAGGTTAAATATCCCGGCACAGTTTTCTCTCCGCTCTCCTCAGACATCAGAGACTTCCATCCCACTCGATACGTCTTGACCTTTCCAGGCGCCGCCGTCCAGGACGCCACGAAACTGCTGGGGGTCACGTCGCTGGTGAGCAGGTTCCTGGGAGGGCCCACCTCTGAAAGCAAAGGACAGAAAAGTTGAAGAGGAATGAACTGAAAGCATTGTTACTCCTGCGGGTTCATGAGGTCCTGTTCGGATAAAAACGTCATCACACGCCCACAGCAGAGGGTTGAAGTGTGGAGCAGCAGAAATGTTTCCAGAAGCTGCAGCTCAGAAGCTCACATTTAATTCCATAAAAGCAGCAGCTGGAGTTGGTCCAGGAGCCGTCCGGCTGCAGACGGCTGGAAAGATTTCAGACCGATGGGATCAGATCCTCCTCAGGAGCTACAGAAGATTAAATACAGATAATAATCCCAAAGTTTGTTTTTCTTCTTTCCTCTGTCTTCATGTTGGAGTCTGTTTCTGTCACCTCAAACACACTCAGCTCCAGTTTTCCATCAGGAAAAAACTTCAAACCACAGAAGATTTGATGCTTTTCTGAATATTATTCCAGTAAAAGTCTGATCTCATCTACCCGTTATGTAAAAACTGCTTCTGTGGTCAAAAACCTATAAAAGCCACTTCTTTCAAACATGAAAGGAAACTTCTGTAACTATCATCTGTCGTCAAACTGTCTGTTAGCAAAATATTTCATGAAGCAGTGGCAGTTTCTACAGAAACTGAGCGGAGCTGTTGGTGTGGTAGTAGAGAGTCTGACCTGTACATATGTTTCTACATCATGGAGTCTTAGCTGACAAAGGCTGTAATGCACCCCTATACCATCAGAGAGGCAGCTTCTGTAAAATGTTCAGTCCTCTGACTAACCTGTTGATAAACTTTCGGTTTCTTACAGCTTTCTGTTGGTCCTGGAACAACTTTTTAAATTCAAAATTATCTGAAAATTGTCCAATAAAACTGGTGTTTATCAAATGTGTAACAATAAGATAATAGATAGAAGCTAATAATATGCTAACATGGTTTCCGCACATCAAGGTCAACCATGTCTGCATTAATTTTATTCATTGAACAAATACGTGCTGCTTTGAACAAAGGTCAAGTAACTGGTGCTGTATATATTGATTTTCGTAAAGCGTTTGACACAGTTGATCATTATTCTCTCTTACAAAAGTTGATTTCTTTTCAACTTTCATCATCTGCAATACAAATGTTTTCCTCTTGTTTGACTGATAGGTGTCAGGTTGTGAAACATGGAAGCTCTGTGTCCAGGTCTCTGCCCTGTTCCGTGGGAGTTCCGCAGGGTAGCATACTGGGCCCATTGCTTTTCCTATTATACATAAATGACCTTCCAAAAATATTGAAGTATTTACATATTTTAATGTATGCTGATGATACTGTTCTTTTTTGTCTGATTTCAATATTGAATCTATTAATAGTCAGTTACAAGCAGATCTTCAGACTTTTCATGGTTGGCTTCAAGATAATCTTTTGTCAATTAATGTTAAAAAAAACTGTGTGCATGTATTTTTCCTCACCCATGAGACATTTCACTGTAACAAATCAACTCACTTTTTTAAACAAACCCCTTGATATTGTTACTACCTACAAATATCTTGGAATTACTTTGGATTCTCATTTGACTTATTGTGATCATGTACAAGTCTTAACCACTAAG